TGAGTGTAAAAGTAGAACTCGTTCTGGTGCATGAGTGGGGTGACTCATGTAGTGCCTATTTTGCCTTGGTGTAATGCGAGATCAGCCGTTGACGTAGATTCGAGCCAAGACTGTTCACGAAGATCGACAGTTGATCACACCGTTAGGGTTCGCCAGCTTTGAGGGCCGACTGACATCGCAACTGACTGTGACTGGTTGGAGTCTTGCGGCCATTTCGACAAAATTTATACCACTCAATAAAAGGTGTTTAGCACTGGGGATTCAGTCTGAGATCTGAGTAAAACTGTGGTGTAGTGTTCAACTGCTCAAAGGGATAGGAAGCACATAGGGATAGGAAGCACATATCAGGTAGGAGATCTATGTAGTATGCAACACGATAAGAGCGAGCGATCGAACGCTAACAAGGTCGATATTGAAGGAGGAACCGGCAACAGGGACCCATTGGAGACAGAGAACCGACGCTATTAGGAGTACGTACGATTGTAACCAACCAATAATCTTTTGAGGAAAAGAGAATAGTCAAGGGTAGCAGGAAAGGAGGGTGATGCGGTAGGTATGACCACGAATACGCCATTCCCAGCGGAATGGAAGTACCCGGGAACAAAAGGTGATGGATGTGTATGCAATATAAGTTATTTCTCCAGCTCTTGCTTCTCTACGACGAAAACTCTCCCCTCCTCGGTGTACTCACTGGTGTATGAATGGGACTCCAGCCTGCTCCTTCCTCGGGTGCTCTAGAGTCTTCACCTCTAATCAATCTCGCTATGGAAGCCGTATGCCTATGCCCTCCTCTTCTTGCACTACTTTCTGCGTTTGGTCTACCAGTATTAGAAGCACCACTTTCGGTGATAGGCGCAGAGGATTTATCTTTTCCCGATTTAGTACCAGAAGTCGAACGGTACGCGATTCCGATATCTCCATCTTCCCCTTCAGAGTCGGACTGCTCCAGTTCATAAGCAGCTGCAGCGTCCGCTACCATACTTCTATCTCTCCTTCTGCCGCCATTTAGAGGGCCACCCACAGGCGAAGGAGGCTGCTCCAAATCATAAATCTCGTATTTCGACCTTTGGGTTCCCATCCTATACGCCGGAAGACTCGCGCCCGTAGTTCCACTCGCTGCAAGTGCGTTCAACGCTACCGGGTTCCCAATCTGCGTTCCAGGAGGTGCAGTTGCAGCTACTGGGTTCTTAAACTCATCAGGAAGGAAAAAGTAGAAGAAGCCCATTGCCAAACAGCCTCCACCGACGACGTCGATGAGATAATGATGCGTGAGATACATTGTTGCCCAATACAACACTCCTGCGTAGGTCCAAACCCATTTTGTCGTTTGAGGGAAGAAGTGAGAGATGAAGAGGGCTTCGAGAGTTGCACAGCCTGCGTGTAAGGAGGGGAATGCACCGAAAACCAAGGGAGAGTTCGTGAACGCAGTTGTGTAGCCATTTGAGTGAAAGAGAGCGTCGATACGAATAAGGCCCCCTGGAGAGCCTTTGGTAGAGTAGGAAGCGGGAGTTAGGCCATAAATGAGCTCGTACCAAGGAGCAGCACACGGGAAAAGAATCTGGATGATGACTCCTGTAAGGTTGAAAAATCCGAGAAGACGTGCCCACAAGTGTAGAGCTTCTTTGGGCCGGAAAAGCCATAAGAAAGCGGCAACGACGAATGGGACGATGTAGTGTCCGACTCCGTAGGGAAACCAAGCGAGGATGTCTAAGATTGGATGGGTAAATCTGGTGAGGATGTCGGAAATGTTGGCACCGTACAAGACGGATTCGAGAGTGGGGAGAAGGGAGACGGAGGGAGTGGGTCGGTAGGGTGAAGGGATGAACCGACAGGAGAAAAAGGCGAGGAGGTAGGAAAATATCGGGGTCGCGGGCAAGAAAAATTGAGAGGTGAACGGGACTAGGAGTGCGCTAGTGTAGAGTATCGGTAGAAGTAGCTTGAAGAGAATAGGGAGGGGAAGTAGGTATAGCCAAAGGGAGGCGAGAACGAGTTGGAAGCCATAGACAACGATTTCACTGAAGGTGAAATGGTGACTTTGAACTTTAGCAAGGGTAATAGAAGGTGAAAGTGACTTGTCGAGGCGGTTGACTGCAGCAATGAAGGCGGTCAACACGGTCTGTACACTGCGTCGGGCCTTGGAACTCATCGTGCAACACAGCGAACAGCTAGGTATTTGGGTCACGCACGCACCGCCGCGTTTCAACCGGATCTACACGCGTTCGGTTCCCGCCGGTCAAAGCTCAAATAAGTCACTTTGCTGCGAACCAGAAAGCTTCGTTCGAATAGATTCAAAGCCAGGACAACAGTCCAGATTTATCAATATAAATCAAGCACTGAGCGAAGTAGGTACCAAACGAATTTCAACTTGCAGTTTACACTTGGAGATGACACTGCAAGGATTTCTGAAGATTCGGACTTAAAGCTCAAAGAATGATCCACAAGTATGTACGCATATTGCACGTTTGCTAATATTACAAAATCCAGACGACTAGATGACCGCGTTAAAACCACCACAGCTGGAATAAAGCGACTAAAGAACAAGAGAGATGGAGAGGGAAAAGGATGGTTTATGTATGATACAGCTAGCACCACGGAGAAAAGATGTGAGTAGACGAGTACTCGAGTAAGGATACAATCTAAAGACAGTAAATAATTTTTTTCGTGAGAAACATAACCATGCAGAAGGTAGGTTAGCCTTTGTTCAAAGTTTTCGACAACAGCGAGAACAGGACGAGGGAGAGATTAGTGGGGTCGAAAAAAGATCCCGTTATTTAAGATAGAACGGAGAGAGACACCCGGTCCCTCAATGACACCCAGCGAGAGTGTGTCAGAGGACGGTTTTTTTTTTAAAAACCGTTTAGACCCGCCTTCTCCAGTCAGAAGCATCTGGGCCCAGAATAACCTTCCTATCAGCAGCAGCACCCTTTTGTTGGAAAGCTGCCTTTGAGCCAAAAGAACCCTTGTTCCCATTCGTCCTCGTGTGTTGCCCAACTCTAGCATTGACTTGAGTAACAGTAGAACCAACATTAGGGTTGGCAGGACCCTTCGAAGTTCCCTTGACCTGCTTCGAAGCCGAAGCAGACCCCAACATAACTCCACCAGTAATAACCCCAGTCTGACCACCTTGATACATGTACTTGGTCAAGTCAGCTTTCGGCTTGTTGACTGGTACAGAGGATGATTTTGCCTGAGTCGGACGATTGTGTTGACGGCGATCGCGCTGAGCACGGTCACGAGTCACTTTGGCGAGTTGGACAGGGTGGAGGGGTTGGTCGTGTTCCTCAGCCTGGACCGAGGGCTTAGAGTCAACGACGATAACGTCGGAGTCGTTGGCAAGAGGTGGGCGAGGGAACGAGCGGTTACGGAGAGCGCTGTTGACGAAGGAAGAAGGGCCGGAAATCGAACGTCTAGTGACTCCGGTAAGCGAGGTTGGGAAGAAAGGTTTACCGAACGCAGTGTTGCTTCCTCCAGAAGAGACAGAAGTCATAGATTCAGCAGAACGAGAGGAAAAACGGGAGGAAGTGGACGAAGTAGAGGAAGTGGTGGATTCGGTGTCAGACTCAGTATCGGACTCAGCTTCATCGTCAGACGAGGACGAAGAGATAGGAACTAGACGAGCAGAAGTAGTGACAGGAGAGCAAGGAGCCGAGGCGACGGCCACAATGACGGCAGAGGTGGCGACAGAAAGAACGGGAACGATGGAAGCAGGAGCAGAGTCTATAGACATCGTTTCGTCGTCTTCGTTGTCAGAAGAAAGATCAACAGGAGAAAGAGCAGGCAGGGTAGGGAGTTGGATAGGTTGAGGCTCGCCAGCGACCAAGGAGGAACGTTTTCTATTTCTGACGGAATCAAGCATGGCCTGGAGTTTTATAGTCATAGGCGAAGGGGCGGAGCCCGTCAAGGTCGAGGCGTTCGTGTTGCTGGCATAGTCGTGGCCGGTCGTAAGGGCGGCGGAAGGCTGGGTCTGAGCCTGGGTCTGGCGATGATGCGAGTGACATGAGCACAGAAATTATACGGAGATAAAAATCTAAAGCACAGAATTGACGTGTCTAGATCTACTCACCTCAAGTGTGAACCCCTTGGAGATCTTGGAAATCTTTGGGACTTGTTCATCCCTCAACTCTTCGTCATCCTTCTTCCAAACGGTAACAACGTCTCTACCCTGGACACCGACACGGATACATCCCTCCATGACGAAGACGTACATCTCTTTCCCCGCACTAAGGGCAGAGATCCACGAGTCCCAAGAGATACCAGATGAGAGACAAGCGGCATATATGGGAGTGACAGGAAGAGAGTGTGAAGTAAGATGGAGGGTAAAAGGAGAAATAGAGGCTGTTTCCGTGTCGGTAGGGAGGAACGAAGGCAAGTTGGCTTGAAGAGCAAGTTGGAGATGAGCGATTTGGATAGCTGGGTGAGTGAGGATGAGAGGACGAGTGAGGAGGTTGATAAGCTGAGTAACAGTGGTAGAAGACATTTCGTTTGAATCAGAATATAAGGCTACAAATGTCGATGAAAGGTCGTGAAAAGTCGCGCTGCGAGTCTAACAAAAAGACGTAGAAAAAAAAGAAGAGGCGGTGGTCGTTGTCGTCGTCGAGTAAAAGCCAAAGGGCGATAGAGGGAACGAAAATTTTACATCCATTATATATTGAACGAAACAATGTTGCTTGTAGAGGGAGAACAATGATTTGTTGTTTCTTATTTGGCGACGCCTTGAGGTGGTCGACAATGGTCGAGTTCGACAGGATATATTCCACTATAATGTTCTATTTACTCTCGTACGGAATAATGAAGAACATGACTGTATTCAAGTAGCTAGGAACGTACCCACAGACACTTAAAGAGAATAAGGCGCACTGCGGCAACACACACATTTATTTCACGTAGTACCTTCGAACCATCACGATAATTGAGAGGAAACAGCACTGGCTGACTTCTATTATGAATACTTACAATCATCACCTGTTAATATTATATGTAAAAAGAATGGCTACTCCAGAGGCATTAAGGGGGAATCGAACCCCCGGCGGGTCGAGCGATGATCAGCTCCCTTATATCACATGTCCCATGGCAACGACCCAGGTTACCACTACCCCATTAATGCTTGAAGGTTACACCAAGACACGAAGTAGAAAGGCGTGGAACCATAATGCACAATGGCTTCAGGATGGAGCGTAGCATTTTTTGATGAGCACGAATACTCCGAAATCCCATTTGAACGCCAAGAGGTCTGCGGGGAACGGAAGTAAATTCAAATTTCCATTGACATTGATCGACGGTGAACAAATACAAAACACTATTTATGCATATTTGGCTTTGGCTTCCAGGCGGACGACAATGGAGGTTTGGGCTGTCGAATACAATCCCCCACAGTTTACCGACCAGGTGTGTCCAAGCTTACTTCCCTCCTTACGAGACAATAGGATTGATCAAATAGACAAGCTGTACTACAAAGCTCTTGAACTCCTCGATCACGAATCCCAAACTAAAATAAAAAAATATTACCATAGGAAAGACGCCTGTCGCGCTCTAGTCTCCAAACTTCTCCCAAGACTACTTTTGCTCAGGAACCATGGCATATCTCCCTCTGAAATGCGGTTTGACAAGACCGAAGCAAATAAACCCTACATTGTCACCGAGACCGTTCGATCTAAGATAGCCTACAACATCTCGCATGATAATGATTTCATCGTTATGGCTTTTTCTGAACGTGGGCCAATACCTCCAGCGATACCAGGTGTGCATCCGACTGCAAATGAAGCAGGATCTATAGGGATAGATGTGATGAAAGTTGCATTACCTGGAAGACATGATACGTATTCATCTTTTGTTAGAATATTCCAAGAACAGGTGGGTAATTTGTTCCTTCTTCTTTTTCTCCTCGTCCTAACCAATCAGAAAATACTTTCATTTTTCTTGCTGGTCTTGTAGTTGACTCCTCTCGAACGAAATCTCCTACTTGCACCTCCCATCAATCCCGCTCTCGGCCTCGAAAACTTTTTCTGGATCTGGACTCTCAAAGAAGCGTACACCAAAGCGCTCGGTATCGGTCTAGGTTTCGATTTCTCTCGCGTCGAGTTCGATTTGACTTCCGCCGCAATGCAAGGGAATGGAGAGAGCAAGAGGAAAGGCGATGGAGGTGGGATAGTTAGAGTGGACGGAAAGATCCCGAAAGGATGGAAGTTTACCAAGTTTACGCGTCGAGTCCAGAGAGGAGAGGAGAATAAGGAAGACTTTTACGTGGGAGTCGTGGCAGAGTATCTTGGAGAGGATTTTGATACTATCGTTGTTCCCCACTCTCTAACCGAGGACACTAGGGAGACGAACGATGCAACGGACGAAGACAGGGATGGGGAATACTCTTGGCTTAAACACCTCCATGCGACCGTTTTCGTTCAGGACGCTATTCGCGAGCTGCACTCTTCGCCTTCATCTTCGTGACTGAACTGTATCAGAGTAGAAGGTCGAACACTTTTTTGACTCGTGCGTGCGTAAAGGAAAAAGACTATCGAACTTGTGTGTGGCTTGCCAGACCTATCAAGGCCGCTACAGCCATCACAAGTCAGCCTCCTTGGCTCAGTCAATAGCTATCTCTCACATTCCAGGGCATTCAATGGGCCCTACCACACAGCTCTATTCTCGTTCTATATCACTCATATCTTTAGTTTCCAGGTTAGGTATACATACTGATTGAATCCGCCCTAGTTTCTCCTTACGGAAGTTTGCCAGTCCCGCGTTCAGGAGTCTCCATTCAAAACTGGTCTCTTTTTGATAGTCCGGTGCCCATTGCTTTTGTTAACGAGCTCTCACAAGACGTCAATACATAGGTGTTCCATGCCAAGTCTCTGTCCTCTTTCATACTGCCCGTTCTTGTACATACAATCTGACTCTTACGTACGCTGAACCATCATTTGTTGCAGAAGGTTGTGAAGGCTGTAGAAAGAAGACCATGGCTGTACTCGCTCCGTTTAGTAAACCTCTTGAAGATCCTCAAGACGTCAGACCTGATAAATGTACACCTGCACTGGTAGTGCTCTAAATTGCGCATCCTTCTTACCTTCTCCCTTCCGTCCCTTCAAGATATTGTGACCAGTGAGATGGATGCGACACTTACGCTCTACGACATGTTCACTAGGATATGGACAACCGAAGATTCTCTTAAATACCTGGACACTCTCGCGGTCCAATTCCTCGATAAACCCATGGAATGTGTTAACTTTTTGTGCCTAATAACAGACTGGTGGTGTGGCACGTACGTCTCTATGTTTTGATGGCCTTTCATATTTGGTGTTGATCTTAGCTTCTAACAGAGTCCCGTCCACTGAGATGGTCATTCAAGCTTCAACGTTCCTCCGTCACCATCCCCGCTTACTTCGTGAACTCAATTGTATTCTTAAAAGACCTAAAGGAGAGGTCAGGATTGTATGCCCGGTAGACAGTCAAGAGGTTGAATGTGTTGTCGCTTTGTATGTGCGAAGGACACGGCCTCCGATCGCGAAGATACACCTTATCCCTCGTTCCCTCGACTCTTCTCGCCCGGAGCTCTTATCACACACGACCCCGCCTCTTTGGTCCACAGAGGAGCTGCACATAGATTTCCTCTCCCGCATTCACTTAGTAGACCCTCTTTGGGCACCGTTTGTCATGGAACTTTTGCAAGTTGTATGGTTCTTCAACTCTCCTTTGTGTGTAGGACACTCTGCCGACTCTTTCTGCAATCCTTACAGAAAATTGAAACCACAACTAGATCCTTTTTCCGAAAAAAACTGATCCGGTCCATGCAATTGCTGTCTAACATCAAAGGGGCTCTCTTTCCCTCAATATTTGTTCATGACGTTAGTCGTGAAGGATCCCATGTTGTGACGGGAGGCGGTTTTGCTGTAAGTTTTTGCCGACATTTCCATCTCAATTTTTTCTTTCGGTGTTGAATCATTTATGCATTCAGGACATATGGAAAGGAAGGAGGAATGGACAATTGGTTTGCCTCAAAGTTCTTCGATTCTTCACCAGCTCTCCAGAGGACAGAGCAAAATTGTTCAAAGTATACAAATTTATTGGTTGTTTTGCCTTCCATCTCTCCTAACGGCAACGTTTGTTTTTAG